GGGGGGGGGGGGATGGAGAGAATGATCAGATTAATGGAGCTCACTTATTTTGTCATAAGGACAAACCGGAAGGCAACGACCACAGCCGTAACAGCGCTCAGCCAAAACTCCGCCCTGCTATAGTTACAGATGCAACCATTAGAAATGAACATGAATAAACTTTAAAATGAATATAACAGGGGGCAGCCACAAGGTTAAGTGTATGATAGATAAAATCAAGGGAATTGGAAACAGAAAGAACCTTTTGCAATATTGCATTAGCAGGACAGACTTTCTCACAAGGTCTTGTGCAATCCTGAGGGCAATCATCCGGATCAAATTCTGCCACAATATCACACAAAACAGGAGTATCAAATTCAATCGTCTTATTTCGCGATATTTCCAGTGATCCATGAGTAATCCTTCATGGTAAAAATACAACCTCAGGTCTTTGAGCTAATTTTCTCAGTACCATTCATTTTTTTACAAAAAGGGTTGCTGTCTTCATATTTCATGAGATTGACAAATAATAGACTCTATCGAAAATGACCATGCATTATAAGCTACTGTGTTTGATAAACTAGATTAGTTTGAGCTAAATTCTCTTCAGGTGATTCTCCGTTCAATTTTTGGAAAAAGTAAGATTTGATGATACTTTAAAGCTCACTAAAAGACTTGATATTAGGAAGGCTGAATACGGATGACAAGTTCTTCAAAACAAGAATATCCAAAGTAAAAATATACTCAATGAAGTTAGCATTTCACAATTTCTAATGCTTCAGAAGATTATACACTCCAATCAGAAGCCAATTATTTTTTAATAAACCGAGAAGTCTTGAGGCTCAGTAGCGCATGGTTCAAAACTCGGTGGACAACGGCCTGCCTCTCTATCCTTCTCCACTTAAATACCATATTTTTGTTGACAGCAGGTTTTTGTCTATGGCAGGGTCCCAATCCGAAGCCTACTTATACTAAACAAAACCAAAAAACTTTTACCCCTACATCAGGTAACCAAGATTGTTGAGTATCAGAGAGGACAAATATGCTGATCGGAATCAGGGTGGGGAGAATTACCAGCTTTACGAAAATGAAGATCTTCATCGTCATTAACACTGATCATTACCCAAGGCCTGCGAATGGGCACAATCGCTCTGGCTGCTTCTATTCCTTCGCTTACAGCATTCACCACTGATGCCTCAGCAGCACAGTCGATGCAATCAACTACAATCAACACACAAACTCACCAATCCAATCCTATGCAAGAAGTACTAGTACCAAAACTATAAAGAGATAGTTAATAATTCATTTTTCACCTCCAGCAAGAGTATAAACCAGAGAAAGGTTCCTGATGTCGACCAAATCCTACAA